GGCTCACCGCACCCTCCGGCTCCCAGATTCAGGCACTTCTCCCACCTTAGCCTCCCGAGTAGCTGGGATTACAGGTGTGAGCCACCACGCCCGGCCCTAGCGCATCACTTAACAAACAGCCCCAGGACCTCATCTGCGCTTCCCTCGTGGAGCCCTTGTAAGGGACAGGATGGCAGTGCATGCCACCCCCTTCCCTGGGCATGGTGCCTGGCACAAAGTCAGCTCTCAGTGTGTGCTGGTGGGGGCTGGTAATGTTGCTTTTGGTCAGATTTGAGGAGGATGAAGGGAGGAGCACAAAGATGGGAGACAGGATCTCTGGGAGGGAGAAAGGATGGATGGATTGAAAAGGTTTCTTAGAAGGTGAGGTAGAACTTGGGGCCGGCAGAAACTAAACTGTAGCTCAGCTGAGCTGGATCAGGTGGAAGGCTGGGAGGCTCTGGGAACAGGAAATCCAGCTGACAGCAGTGGGGTAGGAGTAGAGGGCAGAGTGACCATGGGTCTCCGGTGGAGGCTTGGGATCCCTGCGGTGCCAGTCTTAAGAGAGGATGGTTCTTGGGCACACCCCACCATCCATCCCTTTTTATGCCCCTAGATGCGCTGCTTGACCACACCCATGCTGCTGCGGGCCCTGGCCCAGGCTGCCCGTGCAGGTAGGACCCAGGGAGTCTTTGCTGGGGGTGGGGGAGCCCAGTCTCCTGGTCTGAGGTCATGCCCCTCTTTTTGCAGCACCTCCCGGTAGCCGGAGCCTCCACAGCAGTGCAGTGGCAACTACCTACAGTGAGTACCTGGGTGGCCTCTAGCTTCAGGCGTTCCTGACTGTGGTCCTGCCGGAGGCGGGGGAAGAGACCTGAGTTCCATTCCTGGCTTTGTCAGGGGCGTTCTTCTCTGAGTGTGTTTCTACTCGTAAAATGAGCGTGATGATGGAGGCCAACTCTGAATCACGGGGGCAGGGTTCATCATTGCCAGGGTTAGCTTGGGGAGGGGTTGCCAGGTGTGGGCCATGGATACCTGTGCCTCTTGCCAGTCCCTGGTGAAGGTAAAGGTTCAAGCCTCCCATCCACCCCCCTTGATTCCTCTTTCAAGCCCTGTTGGGGGTGGGGGGGGGTCTCTGGACTCAAATGGCCTCCCAATCACAGGGAGAGGAGGGCAAGGACGGGCTCGGGCCTGTGGTGGCCTCCCAGGGTCCTTGCTGATGCTGGGGAGAGGTGTGGCGAGTGAACGGCCCCTTTGGAGCCCAGTAGTTGCCCCTGGAAGCGAGGCCAGGCCTCCTCTCCCTGAGGCTCCAGGGAGACGGTGTGCAAGGCCTCCTGCCACAGCTTCCCCGCCCCCCACTTCTCTGCAGAGCATGTGAATGTGCAGGAGCCCAAGATGGACATGAGGTCAGTGACTGACCGAGCAGCCCAGACCCTGCTGTTGACCGAACTCTTCCGAGGTGTGTGCTGGGCAGGATGGGATGGGGGCAGTGCCAGGTGGGCACAGATGCAAGGGGGAGGAGGTGCCCTTGCCCACCACACCTGTGCTGCCCACAGGCCTGGCCATGACCCTGAGCTACCTGTTCCGGGAGCCGGCTACCATCAACTACCCGTTTGAGAAGGGTCCACTGAGCCCTCGCTTCCGTGGGGAGCATGCCCTGCGCCGGTACCCATCTGGGGAGGAGCGCTGCATTGCCTGCAAGCTCTGTGAGGCCATCTGCCCCGCCCAGGTGAGCCCCTGCCCCAGCCGACCACCATGCCAGCCCCTGCCACTGGGAGAGGGAGGCCAGACAGCCCTAGGCCCACACTCTGGGCATGGTGCCTGGCACAAAGTCAGCTCTCAGTGCATGCTGGTGGGGGCTGCTTGATGTGTGTTCCCAGGGAAGTCCCCTTCCCTCTCTGAGCCACTTCCCTCCTGAATGGGAGTGAGATAGCCCTGTTGCCAGAGCAGTCAGTGAGTTGGCAGAGTGAAGCTCCCAGCCCCAGGCAGGCGCATGACACACGGGGGTTCCCCCTTGGGGTCTGGCCAGGAGTGTGACCCTTGGGCCTGTGAGCCGTGGGTGGCATCTGAGGCCATCCACGCCTCCCTGGATGTAGCCACCGTTTCCAGGGTCCTGGCTCCGTGCCTGTTGCAGGCTTCCCCTCCCCAGTGACTGCTCCTCTAAGGCCCGGCTTTCTGTTCCCTTCGGGTCTCACTCAGACCAGCAGGGCCCGGGGCCTGTCAGCACAGGACCAGAATGACTCGGTCAGAGCTCTGGTCAGACCCCTGTGTGTGCCCGGCAGGAGCCCAGCAGCCACGTCGCTACTTCCCTCATGCACAGCAACCCCTCCCAGTGTTCTGTGACTCGGTGGCTCCCGTCCAAGTCCTAGTTTGTCCCGTGAAGCACCCCTAGTCTTCCAGGCCATGAGCTGCGGCCCTGATGTCTCTGCTCCAGCCACGGACCAAGAGTGCATAGCAGTGTCCCCAAACAGCAGTCACAGTGGTCAAAGCCGTGGCTTCCAGAGAGAGAGTGCTGTCTACAGGCAGATCCGGCGCTGTGCCTCCTGTGGACTCCCTTCGGAGTCTCATCTTTATAAGCACAAAAAGATGAGGCTGCCAGCCACAGGGCCCACTGTGAGTTGTGGACACTACACTTCTGGGATGAGGGTGTATGTCCTTGCCAAGCACATCTGAAGGTCCTCCCAGCCAGCCCCTCCCCCAGCGGGCTACCCAGGACTTGAGAGTTGGGACATGGCCTTGAGTTTGGGCTGTGCCCCTCACTTGCCGTGTAGCTTTAGGGAGCCCCTCAACCTCTCAGAACCTTAGTTTTCTCATCCATCAAATGGAGAGAAGTAGATTTAAGGTACAGGGTTGCAACCAACAGTGCAGGCAGGCATTCTCAACGACATTGCAGGTTCGGTTCCAGACCATCACAGTAAAGCGAGTCACACAAATGTTTTGGTTTTCCAGTGCACATAAAAGTTAGATTTAGACTGGGCACAGTGGCTCACTCCTGTAATCCCAGCACTTTGGGAGGCTGAGGTGGGTGGATCACTTGAGGTCAGGAGTTGGAGGCAAGCCTGGCCAACATGGTGAAACCCCATCTCTACTAAAAATACAAAAATTAGCTGGGCATGGGGGCAGTGCCTGAAATCTGGCTACTTGGGAGGCTGAGGCACAAGAATCACTTGAACTGGGAGGTGGAGGTTGCAGTGAGCCAAGATCACACACACACACAAAAAAGATTTACACTGTACTATAGGCTCCAAAGTATCTAAAATACAATATATATACCTTAATTAAAAGTACTGTAGGGGCCGGGCACACACCTATAGTCCCAGCACTTTGGGAGGTCGAGGTAAGTGGATCCCTTGAGCCCAGGAGTTTGAGACCAGCCTGGGCAACATGGCAAAACCCTGTTTCTACAGAAAAAATACAAAAATTAGCCCCTGTAGTCCCAGTTACTTGGGAGGTTGAGGTGGGAGGATCGCTTGAGTCTGGGAGGTCAAGGCTGCAGTGAGCTATGATCTGGGCCACTGTACTCCAGCCCGGGTGACAAGGTGAAACTGTCTAAAAAGAAAAAATCTTCATTGCTAAAGTCTTGACCCAGAGTTAAGAAGCGAGCACGTGGTTGGGAAAATGACGTCAGCGAGCTTGCTTTACGCAGGGTTGCCCCAAACCTTCAATTTGTAAAACTTACAATATCTTGGAAGCTCGGTGAGGCAAGGCCAGCCTGTAACCCAGCAGCCGCCTCAGGGTGAGACCATTATGGCAGTGGGCACCACGCTGAATAAAGCAGCGAACAGCCTCTTTGTGGGGGTGGGGTTCTTGGCACATGGCACCAGCAGCTGACAAACAGGCAAGGCAGGGACGCCAGCAGGGCAAATGCTGAGGTGACAGGTGCTGACATGGCATAAGTGCGGGCGGCCTCTTAGCCAGAGTCGGGGAGGCCTCTGAGGGGAGGGGGCTTCCAGCAGACACCGGGGTGGGGATGAGTTGTGACGGGGCCCAGGGGGCCGGGATGTGGCAGACAGCTCAGCAGCATCTGGTGGCCCCTCCTGCAGGCCATCACCATCGAGGCTGAGCCGAGAGCCGATGGCAGCCGCCGGACCACTCGCTATGACATCGACATGACCAAGTGCATCTACTGTGGCTTCTGCCAGGAGGCCTGCCCCGTGGATGCCATAGTCGAGGCACGTGGGGCCCAGGGTGGGAGGAGTGGAGGCTCTTTGGCGGGCCCTGACCGCCACCCCTGCACCCCCACCTGCAGGGCCCCAACTTTGAGTTCTCCACGGAGACGCACGAGGAGCTGCTGTACAACAAGGAGAAGCTGCTCAACAACGGGGACAAGTGGGAGGCGGAGATCGCCGCCAACATCCAGGCTGACTACCTGTACCGGTGAAGCCCCGCCCTCTGCCTGCAGCCTACTGCCCAATAAAACCGCTCTGACCCCACCGCCTCCTGTCTTGACTCTGGTGGGCCAAGGTGGGGCCATCCCCAGCCCACCTCAGGCCTGTGGCACCTCCAGCTGGAGCAGGTCGCCACCAGCTCCCTGCTCTCTGGGGTCCTGCCGCCCGGCCCTGCCTTCCCATGGACTCGAGGGCCCCACCAGGCGCTCATGACAGCATCCCTGTCACCCTGCCTCTTCTTGGGCATCTTCCCCAAGGTCCAGCAATGCCAGAGATCACCGCAGACCTTCTGTTCCCACTGTCCTGGGTGTCCTTGCTGGAGCCTGGACTTCCTGTCTCCTGAGAGCCACCTACTTCTAAGACCCTTAAGACTTGGAGCCTCCCAAGGCCTTAGGCTGAGGGACAGCAAGTGGCAGAAACTCAGGCCAGGGCGTCCTTGCTGGGGGTAGGAGGAAGCCTGCTTGGGGTGACAGTCACACGAGGGTGACACAGGCCCTGCTGGCCCTGAGCTGGCCTTGCCTCCCGCCACATCCTCTTTTCTCCCTGCGTTCCCCAGGCCAGGCTGCTGGCCCGGCCACTGCTCACCACTTCCTGCTTTGCAGGGCCAGCGACATGGTGGGGCTCCCCCAGGGCCACACACAAGCCCCTTGTCCACGTAATGGCCAAAGCAGCCCCCTTGAACTTGTGCTAAGTACTGGAGGGATTTCACTTCAAACCAGCTCTAAGAGGTGAAGGGGCTTGCTCAGGGCTGTGCAGTGCACATCCCATAATAAAGCTCAGCTCAGAGTCACACTGTCTCCCACCATTTCCAAAAGTGCTTTTTACAAAGCACTACTTTGTAAAGAGCTACTTCTCTGACAGAACGGGGAAGGTGTTTCCTGGCCCAATGAGTGTGGGAAATGGTCTAGTTGGTTTCTGCCTGCCGGCAGGCACTGCATACTAGACATTCAAGGCTCTGACAAAGCCTGCAGCAAAAAATCCAGCCCATTCCCAGGGAGCCTTTTTTCAGGTCTAACACCTGGGCCTTCTTTATAGGACAGGCATTGCTGTCTAATGCCAAAGTGGCCGGGCCACTGCTTGGGGCCCACAGCCTGTGGCACTGGGGTGAGAAGTAACTGCAGGAGGTGAGGGGAAGCCTGGACCCCGGAAGTGGCCACAGGTCCGGCCCACAGCTCATCTTGGCCTCTGATGAAGATAGGAGCTCTTTCCAAAAATGAGGTGATCCCAGGAGGCAGGCGTAGAACTGAATCACTGCTGGTTTAGCTATTCCCAGACGTGACTGCCGTTAGATGCGCGGCGTGGAGCCTGTGGCGGTGCACGGAGTGCTAGTCCACGAGGGCAGCCTTGCCAGCTCACCGCTGGGTTCTTCACCTTACCTTGGCCTCCCAGGCACTGCTCTGCCGAGACCCCGCTGGGGCTGTCTGGTTGTATCAGGCTCTTCCCCCGTCAGAAGAAACCTATGGCACCCAACTGTAAGTCTCCCAATTTTCTGAGCAGCTGCAGCTGAACTTGACTGTGACTCGGTTTCCAGGCCCGGCCCTGGGGCTCCATTTGTCCACCCCTCCCACAGCCCCCTCAGGCCTTTGCTTGCTGTGTGGGGCTTAGGGATCCCCAGAGTTGAAGGGCCCCACTGGCTCCCAGTGGGAATGCCCAGGCCTGTCTAGAGTGCAGGCGGCTGAACAGCTATGAGTCCCAGCTTCCAGGCACTGGGACCTGATGATCCCCAGGGAGCTGACCTGGAGCAAGGTCACAGTGACACCCCCCGGGGGGAGGTGGAGCTGACAGCTGGCCTCTGTGGCCCCAGGGCATCTCCCAGGGCCTGCTGGGTGCAGGGACCTGGGCAGAACAAGGCAGCATGACCTGGCCCTGTGTCTTGCTGCAGTGAAGCAGGTGCAGAGGGGGCAGCCACCCACCTAAGGGCCAGTGCTGAGCCCCTGCCAAGAGCAGGAAGGTGTAAGCACCAGGTTTCACTGTCACACACCCAAGGGAGGGGTCCTGGAGGTGGGGGAGCATCCTGGGGACCCAGGCTCATGAGCCTGCAAATGTTGGGGTCCTGTCAGCCATAGGCACAGCAAGCCTCGGAGAGGAGAGCAGGGTCTCATTCCCTGTTCTGAGCTAGGCCTGAGCGCCGCTGCTCCCGCATCAGTGCCAGCGCAGATTCACGCGGTTGGCGCTGGTCCGTTATCCGCTCGGGTCTCCAGGCCTCCTCTCCGGCATTAAGCGCCCCACAGAAGATCATCTGCTAGGCCACAGCCTGGGCCCAGCCTCCCCCAGGCTTCCTGCACTCCGGTGGAGGCTCGGGCCGGGGGCGGGGCGTTCCTGGCCCCTCCCCGTGGCCCCGCCCTTTCGGGAAGGAGTAAGCGGCGCTGGCCCCGGGCGGGAGGCGGTTCCGAGTCCCGTCCCGGCGTGCGGAGCGGGGCAGCCAGCAGCGGAGGCGCAGCGTACAGCCCACCCGGGGTGAGTGCCTCCGCCGGGGTCTGCGGAGCCCAGCTCTGCCGGCCCACCCTCTTCTGCCCACTCAGTGTGCTCCGTGAATGCAGCCCAGCCCGCCATCACGCCGGGGTCAGGCCTTGCGGGGGTCCACGGAGGATCGCCAAGGGAGAAGGATGGGGTGTTGGCCAACAGAGCCCAGCGTTCCCGGGCTTGGTGTGCGCAGAGCTTTCCCCATTGCCTCTTCCTTGGAGGGAGGGATCCATTTTACAGATGGGGAAGCGGAGGCCACCCAACTAGGAAGTGTCAGAGCTGGAGACCAGCCGGGTCATTTAACTCCAGAGCCCACACCGTTTGGAATGGAGGGGGCGCCAGACCCTCTCCTACTGCCTTCCCATCATCCGAAGCGGAGGGCAGGGATTCGGAGAGACCTGGTGGGTTCCTAGAGGAGCCTTGTGAGGGGCTGGAGGAGTGGGCTGAGGAGTGGGCTGGAGCCTGGCCCGAGGGTCGCAGGTTGGAGGCATATTCATTTGCATCATAAAAGTGGCTGGGTGGCCCCTGGCTAGAGCGGGGACCAAGGGGGACAGGGTAGGGGGTGAGCCAGTGGAGCCTCACAGGCCAGGAGTGGGGGCTGACCAGGTCCCACACATACCCCCACCCATTACAGGCTGTCCCCCCACCCCCTGGGAAGTGCCGGAGGGAGGCAAGTGGCTGTGGGAGCCCTGATGCCCTGAGCCAGGAGTGCCCCTTCCCCCGACCCCAGAGCTGAGTCCCCACATCCCCTTATTTGGCTGGCACAGCCCCAGAGGGAGCCAGGTCAGACCACAACCCTTCTCTGAGCTCATCCTGTGTGCTGGGACATCTAAACCTGCAGCCCGGAGCAGGCCCTGCGTGGGTCAGCCCCGCTGGGCATGTGACACTGGACTTTACCTCTCTGAGTGTCCGTGAAGCCCCGTGTAAAACAAGGGTCCAGCGCCCCTCCCCTGGGATTGCTCCCCCCAGGGAGTGTGGTCCTGTGGATGAAGGCATTCACTGGGGGCTTTGGTTATTTTTGTCACCTCCCTAGATCCTGTCTCTGTCAGGGGTGTCATGTCCCATTCATCCAAAGAGAAAATAGAGGCCCAGAGAGGGAGAGAGACTTGCCCAAGTCACACAGCCAATCTCAGCCTGGGCCCCAAGTCTCTGCCTTATGGCCCAGCCTGGTCCTTAGGGATGGAACCCGGCCCCCCTGCCCCCTGCCCCAGCCAGGGCCCTGCCCGCCTGCAGCCTTGGGCTGTCCCCTCAGTGTTCCCTCATTCCCTCATTCTCTTCTTTCCCAGGCTGGGGCTGGGGCTGCACTTCCCTTTTAGAGTTAAGTAAATCATACCCAGGGGAGGAAGTGACTGGCTGGGCAGGCCCTGGCCAGCCCGGCAGCAGGAGGGGCCCTCACCAGTCCTGTCCCCTCCCACTAATTTAAGAGCTAAGGAACTGAGTCCCACAGATGGGCCCTGAGAGCAGTGGCCTTGGAGCAGGGGGGCCCAGCACCCACAGGCTAGGGTGGGTTGGAGGTGGCCACGTGCCTGCCCCCACCCTCATCGGCCTTGAGCAAGGCCCTGGCCCTCCCCGTCATTCTGCAGTTTCACTTTTGTTGGTTTCAACACTTGGAAGGCTGCGGCTCCTGCCGGTGCCCCGGGCCTCAGGGAACGGGTCCCCCTACCGCAGTGCTCCCTGGCCAGCCCCAAGGGACCCAGTGGAGATACCCACCCCTGCCACTCAGCACAGGCAGCCCCACAGGAAGCAGGGAGGTCTCCAGCCCCCCCCCGGGGGCCGCCCTGGGCCTAAGTGCCTGGGGCAGTGCGGTTCTGTCGAGGGCGAGGGCAGCCTGGGAGGAGGGAGGCTGGAGTGAAGGTAGGGGTCGAGTTGGCGTCATTTGGAGATGCTGGAGGCAAGGGCAGGGGACCCGGGGGGCAGAGCCAGCCTGGAGAGAGGCTGAGGCCGGCCTGAGGGTGGGCTTCAGGGTCTCCCAGTCCCACTGCTTACTTCCTGCGTGACCTCAGCACTGTGTCCAGCCTGCCCAGGCCTCAGTTTCCCGCCTCTGTCAGAGGGGGTGGTAGCAGTAGCTTCCAGGATTCAATGGGTGAAGGTGCACAGGTGCCCACGGTTGGGAACTGTCTGCGGTCACCCCTGACTGGCCCCCATCCGTGTCCACCCACAGGACCATGGGCTCCATGTTCCGGAGTGAGGAGGTGGCCCTGGTCCAGCTCTTTCTGCCCACAGCTGCTGCCTACACCTGCGTGAGCCGACTGGGCGAGCTGGGCCTCGTGGAGTTCAGAGACGTGAGTTGGGTGGGCAGGTGTGGGAGGGGGTTGCTGCTGAGGTTAGCCTGAAGGCCACTCCAGGATGGAGACTGCCTCCCCATGGGGCCCTGGCCCCATTTGAACCCCCGCAGCCGCTGCCATGGGTGCTGCTTGTGGGAAGCCACAGCCGAGGCCCCTGAGACAGCTGCTCCCCATCCCCGCCCAGGGTGTGGGGTCTGGGCTGTGCTCTGATCAGAGTCTAGTGGCTCCCAGCACTTTTGGAGGGCCTGGGCTCTAGGGTGGGGACCTCCCTGACCCCCTTCCTGGGACACTGACCCCTCCATGCGGCACCCACAGCTCAACGCCTCGGTGAGTGCCTTCCAGAGACGCTTTGTGGTTGATGTTCGGCGCTGCGAGGAGCTGGAGAAGACCTTCAGTGAGTTGGTCCCAGGCCTACATTCCAGGCAGCTTCCTGGAGGAGGCATGGGCCAAGTTTGATCTGAAATGAAAATCTGGGTTTGCCACGTGGAAGGGAGGGAAGAGAGGGACGGGAAGGGCCCTGCAGGGCCAAGACAGAGCAGCTGGATCTGTGAGGTGTGCTTGGGAAGGGCTGCCTCGGGTGGGCTGAGCAGAGGGCCTAGGGCAGGGCTGGCTGGGGAGGCCCCCAGTACAGCACAAAAGCCCAGGACTTCATCCTGTGGGCACCAGGAGCCACAGGGGTTTCTAAGCAGGAAAGAGGCACAGACAGAGCTTTCTCCTCTACAGCTGGACGGGGGTAGGTGGGGCCCAGAATCTAGGGTTGGGTGCCCCCAAGGAGCAGGCAAGAGGGACCTCTGCCCTGGGCAACCCCTCTCCAGAGGAGCCTGTAGGGGCACCAAGGCATGGGCCTGGAGCAGGCCGGGTTTTGTTTGCTGGTGCCGTTCATAGCTTTTCAACGATCGGGCAGGCACAGGACTCACACCAGTTTCGGACCCAGGCCCCGCAGCTCGAGGGCCAGCCTGTGGGAGACCTCAGGCCTTGCACTTAGCGGTGGCCAAGGGACTGGGGAGGGACAGCAGCCCGGACCTGAGCACAAAGGGAGGGGAGCAGAGCTTCTGGATGGAGTTTGGCAGGATTTTCCGGCAGCCTCCGCCTGGTGAATCCACCAGATAACAGTTTGGGGCAGCAGGTGGGGTCCTTAGCTGTTGAGACAACCTCGACTGTGCCCCACGCCTGTTCCTCTGTGCCCAGCCTTCCTGCAGGAGGAGGTGAGGCGGGCTGGGCTGGTCCTGCCCCCGCCCGAGGGGAGGCTGCCAGCACCCCCACCCCGGGACCTGCTGCGCATCCAGGAGGAGACCGAGCGCCTGGCCCAGGAGCTGCGGGATGTTCGGGGCAACCAGCAGGCCCTGCGGGTCCAGCTGCACCAGCTGCAGCTCCACGCCGCGGTGCTGGGCCAGGGCCACGGCCCCCAGGTCAGCTCCAGCCCGGGCAGGAGACGGGGACTGGGAAGGCTGTCTGTCCCAGGGCTCATGGTGCTTCTGGGTTCCTAGCTGGCAGCCGCCCACACATACGCGGCCTCAGAGAGGACGCCTCTGCTCCAGGCCCCCGGGGGGCCACACCAGGACCTGAGGGTCAAGTGAGTGAGGGATGACTTCGTGCCCTTTCTGGTCAGCCCAGAGCCCCTGGCCAGTCGCTGAGCTGGGCTGGGCTGAGCTCCAACTCCTTGTCCAGTGCTCTCCTCTCTGTTCCTGCCGTCAGGCTGCCCCCGCCTCCTCCTTCAGACCTGGCACTTCCCACAATCCCAAGCCCTGGCCCGGAGGAGCAGGGGGTTCTCCTCTTCTGGCCCTGCCCGGGGTGGGGGGGCTCTTGCCTTCCCCTGCAGGCAGGACCAGTGTGCCCTGTTGCCTGTGCTGAGCAGGGTCCTGCCCGGCAGCCTGGTGGGGAGGTGGAATGGGAGGTTGCAGCAGCCCCACCCAGCTCCGTGGCCGCCAGCTTTGTGGCAGGTGCCGTGGAGCCCCACAAGGCCCCCGCCCTGGAGCGCCTGCTCTGGAGGGCCTGCCGTGGCTTCCTCATCGCCAGCTTCAGGGAGCTGGAGCAGCCACTGGAGCACCCCGTGACGGTGAGCAGCTGGTGCTGGGCTGAGGGATCCTGGAAAGAGCGGGACTCCAGGTTCAACCGAGCCTGCTCTGCAGGGTGAGCCGGCCACGTGGATGACTTTCCTCATCTCCTACTGGGGCGAGCAGATCGGACAGAAGATCCGCAAGATCACAGACTGGTGAGTCGCCGGGGCCACTCGCCCACCGCCCGCTCCCCAGACCCCTGCTGTCACCTCCCAACTCACCGTATTGAGACTCCACCCCATGAGCTCCCTTCAGACCCAGAGTCTCGTAGCCGGGACCCTCGGCCCCCTCACACGCACCTCCTCCTGCCAGCTTCCACTGCCACATCTTCCCGTTCCTGGAGCAGGAGGAGGCCTGCCACGCGGCCCTGCAGCAGCTGCAGCAGCAGAGCCAGGAGCTGCGGGAGGTGGGTGCCCCAGCCTCCCGGAGGTGGGTGCAGGAGGTGGGTGCCCCGGCCTCCCAGAGGTGCGTGCAGGAGGTGGGTGCCCCGGCCTCCCAGAGGTGGGTGCAGGAGGTGGGTGCCCCGGCCTCCCGGAGGTGGGTGCAGGAGGTGGGTGCCCCGGCCTCCCGGAGGTGCGCGCAGGAGGTGGGTGCCCCGGCCTCCCGGAGGTGCGTGCAGGAGGTGGGTGCCCCCGGCCTCCCGGAGGTGGGTGCAGGAGGTGGGTGCCCCGGGCCCAGCTGCCCACCCAGGCCCCGCTGACTGCCCACTCTGTCACAGGTCCTGGGGGAGACGGAGCGGTTCCTAAGCCAGGTGCTGGGCCGGGTGCAGCAGCTGCTGCCGCCGGCGCAGGCACAGGTCCATAAGATGAAGGCTGTGTACCTGGCCCTGAATCAGTGCAGCGTGAGCACCACGCACAAGTGCCTCATCGCGGAGGTCTGGTGCGCCACGCAAGACCTGCCGGCCCTGCAGGAGGCCCTGCGGGACAGCTCGGTGAGCACAGCCCGAGGCCTCACCCTCCCCACCCACCCCTCCCACCAGGCCGGTGTGTCTGCCTCACTTCCAGCCTCTGGTTCCCTGCACTGGGCCTTTGCCCAGGGGCTTCCCCTCCCAGCCTCCTCCACGGCCCACCTGTTCCTGGGAGTCTGCCCTGATGGCCCTGGCCCCGCAAGCTCCCCCTACCCTGACTTCCCTGAGCCCCTGGAGGCTGCATGGGGCAGCTTTAAAGTCAGAAGCCTGGTTCCAATCCAGGCCTCCCCAAACCCCGCCATGACCATGGGCCTGCTCACGGCCTGTGATGCCACTGCCTCCGGGGGTTGCCCGCCTCGCAATGGCAGGTGCTGGAGGGGAGGCTGGGCACTTGCCTTTCCTGAGCAATTGCCAGTCCACACGATGTCTTTGGGCCCTCACCAGAGCAGAGTGGGGCTGATCATCTTATGTCTGAGAGTGAGGAAGGAGCTGCCCACTGAGCTTCCACAGTGCTCTGCATCTGCAGCCAGGCCTGGCTGGGGGTACCAGGGTCCCTGAAGGCCCCACCACCAGTCTGATCTGTCTCTTCCCTGGCACCCAGACAGAGGAGGGAGTGAGCGCCGTGGCCCACCGCATCCCCAGCCGCGAGATGCCCCCCACGCTCATCCGTACCAACCGATTCACTGCCAGCTTCCAGGGCATCGTGGATGCCTACGGTGTGGGCCGCTACCAGGAGGTCAACCCCGGTGAGAGCCACAGCGCCCTCATCCCGGGCCCTGGGAGGCTCAGCTGACCCACTGGGTGTGAGCCTGATGGGGAGGCAGCTCCATCCTGGTCTGGTCTGCTCTCCTGGGAGGAGAGGCACACGCCTCATCACTCTCGAGGGGCCAGTGGGCTCTGCAGCCAGTGGGGCTCTATGTCGGCCCCCAGCATGCTAACCCTTGTTGAGTTTACAAAGGAGCTGGCATGGACTTGCGCAAAGAGCAGAGGCTGTATGTGCGGTGGGCAAGGCCCAGGTTCCAAGCCCGTCTCACCTACTTCGATATGTTTCGTAGCTTCTCTGAGCCTCAGCTGCCTTACCTGCAAAATAGAAATACTAGTGCAAGCCTCAGAGGAATGTCGGGAAGCCTGGTGACCACTGGCCACTGCAGGCCACCACTGGGGCAGCCCGTGTGGGGCTGGTTTTATCACACAGTGGTTTTTTGTTTTTTTTTTTTTGAGGCAGAGTCTCACTCTGTCGCCCAGGCTGGAGTGCAGTGGTGTGATCTCGGCTCACTACAACCTCTGCCTCCCAGGTTCAAGCAATTCTCCTGCTTCAGCCTCCTGAGTAGCTGGGATTACAGGCGCGTGCCACCATGTGTGGCTAATTTTTACATTTTGGCCACCATGTTGGCCAGGCTGGTCTTGAGCCCCTGACCCCGTGATCCATCCACCTTAGCCTCCGAAAGTGCTGGGATTACAGGTGTGAGCCACTGGCCCTACACAGTGTTTTTATAAAAGTTTGCATTAATGCGGTCTTAGGTCAAACTCTCCCTGAGACGGACATTCTGGGGGAAGTGGTAGGTTAAGGGAAGTGCTCCCAGTAGAAACCAGTAAGGGATGAGGGTGGAGGGTGGGGGTGGGGGAACTCTAGAGCTCCCCCTCCACCTCCTCCTCCCTCTCCCCCTTGGGAGTCCTGATGCCTGCAGTGCCTGCCCTGTCATCCACCTGGGTCCTCCCGCTCGGGACGCCACTCCCCCCACACAGTGGGCCAGCTGCAATGTGGCTGGTGCTGTCAGATGCGTGGAGGGACCCAGTGTTCCCCAGTGCCACCGAGTGGGGGCCTAGCCTATAGCATGGGTGTGACGTGGTGGAGCCCCTGTTGGGAGGGGCTTGGTCACAGGCCAGGGAGGGGGCCCTGCCTCACCCAGTGGGCAAGAGTCAGGGTGCTCGGGCCCCTAGGGTGGTACAGGTGGGGCGTGTCCGAGGCTGCATGGACCAAGACCAGGGCTGTGTGGTCCTGGGGGCCCTGTGCTCCTGCAGGGCCAGTGTCCCGGGGCTGGATCTGGGCCCCCCCCCCAGTTTCCCCTGTGCATGGACAGAGGCTGGTGCAGCCACAGCATGTCAGAGGCCCACAGCAGCGGGAGGCCGCCGGCTCAAAGCACTGGCCTTTGGGGCAGTGTGTTTGCCAGGGAAGCTGAAATGAAGCACCACAGGCTGGGGCTTAAGGGGCAGACACCGCCCGAAGTCCTGGAGTTTGAAGTCCAAGACCAAGGTGTCAGCAGGGGCCAGGCGCAGTGGCTCATGCCTGTAATCAACACTTTGGGAGGCCAAGGTAGGAGGAGAAGCACTGGAGTCCAGGAGTTCGTGACCAGCCTGGGCAACACAGCAAGACCCTGTCTCTTAAAAAAATAAAAGATGATAAGGTGTTGTCGGGAGGAGTGGCTCCTTCTAGGCTGTCCAGGAGGATCCATTCCCAGCCTTGCCCCTGGGCTTGGAGAGGCTGCCCTCATCTTTACGCGCTGTTCTCCCTCTATGTGGGTCCAGATGTTCCTTTTTGTAAGGCTCTTGGTCACACTGGATGAGGGCCCAGTGTAATGGCCTTACCTTAAGCCTGCAACCTCTGTAAGGACCCTGTCTCCAAAGAAGGTCACATCCAGAGTTGCTGGCACTGGGACGCCTGTGTATCTTTTATGGGCCCACAGAGCAGCCCCAGACAGGGTGTGTGTGTTGCGATCCTCCTTCCTCCCGTGAGGACTTGGTCCCATTTTACTGATGGGAAGTCGAGACTTCAGAGCTAGAGAGACCGGCTCGGCCTCCTGGGACTTGCCATGTGCCAGCTGGGGCCGCCAGTGGCTCCCTGTCCTATCTGGCTTCTGTGTGGGGCTCTTAGGGACAGCAACAACTGAAGCTGCTAACTTCCTGCGGCACTGGTGGCTGGCCAGGTGCTGCCTGTGGAGAACTTATGAAGTGGCCTGGTGTTACCTCCATTTTACAAATGGGGAGATGGAGGCTCAGAGAGGTTAAGTGGCTAGGCCAAGGTCACACAGCTCCTAAGTGGTGGGTTCTCTTTTTTTTTTTTTTTTTCTTCGGAGACAGAGTCTCCCTCTGTCGCTCAGGCTAGAGTGCAGTGGCATGATCTCGGCTTACTGCAACCTCTGCCTCCTGGGCTCAAGTGATTCTCCTGCCTCAGCTTCCCAATCCCAAGTAGCTGGGACTACAGACATGCACCACCTTGCAAGGCTAATTTTTGTATTTTTAGTAGAGACAGGGTTTGACCATGTTGGCCAGGCTGGTCTCGAACTCCTGACCTCAGGTGATCCTCCTGTCTTGGCCTCCCAAAGTGCTGGGATTACAGGCATGAGCCACCCCACCAAGCTGCTAAGTGATGGGCTCTTGACTACAGGCCGGCAGGGCCTCCGTGGCCTCTTGGACGGGAAGTGGATGCCCGAATGTTGGAGGGTTCCCAGCTCACCCACCGCAACCTTTGCCCACAGCACCCTACACCATCATTACCTTCCCCTTCCTGTTTGCCGTGATGTTCGGGGACGTGGGCCACGGGCTGCTCATGTTCCTCTTCGCCCTGGCCATGGTGCTTGCGGAGAACCGGCCGGCCGTGAAGACCGCACAGAACGAGGTGAGGGGCCGGGCGAGGGGGTTCGGGTGGGGCCAGGCAGGGGCCAGGCAGCCCTTCACCACACCGCCGCCCCCCCAGATCTGGCAGACTTTCTTTGGGGGCCGCTACCTGCTCCTGCTCATGGGCCTGTTCTCCGTCTACACCGGCTTCATCTACAATGAGTGCTTCAGCCGTGCCAGCAGCATCTTCCCCTCGGGCTGGAGCGTGGCTGCCATGGCCAACCAGTCTGGCTGGAGGTGAGGCCCAGTCCACAGCCCGGCTGGGGGCCCCGCAGCCCCTGCAGCCCTGACGCCCTGCCCTCTGTTGCCATAGTGATGCATTCCTGGCCCAGCACACGATGCTCACCCTGGATCCCAACGTCACTGGCGTCTTCCTGGGACCCTACCCCTTTGGCATCGACCCTGTGAGTCCCGGGACGGAGTGTCAGTGGGCGGCAAAGGCAGGTGAGAGTGGGGCCAGGGCTCCCCTTGCTTCGCCCCTCCTGTGGTCTGTAGCTGAGCACTCCCATGAGCCTCAGAACGGGAGGCAGACCAGGCTCCTGCCGAGGGGCCTATGTCACTGTCCCGAGCGCACGGAGGCAAAGCGAAACCGGACAGGCGCCAGGCTGCAGGTGCTCTGCCGAGCGCTGTTCCCAGCTCTCTTTGGAAATGATCTTTTTTTTTTTGAGATGGAGTCTTGTTATGTTGCCCAAGTTGCAGGAGTACAGTGGTGCAATCTCGGCTCACTGCAACCTTCCTCTCCTGGGTTCAAGAAATCCTCCTGCCTCAGCCTCCTGAGTAGCTGAGATTACAGGCATATCCAACACGCCTGGCTAATTTTTGCATTTTTAGTAGAGACAGGGTTTCATCATGTTGGCCAGGCTGGTCTTGAACTCCTGAACTCAGGTGATCCGCCCACTTCAGCCTCCCAAAGTTCTGGGATTGCAGGTGTGAGCCACCACGCCTGGTCTGATTTTCTATTTGAACCCTGTAACAACCTCATAACAGCCCCGTAGGCCACACATTAACAGTGTCCTCACCTACAGTGGAGAGACTGAGGCACAGAGGCCATGCCCAGGGTCACCCAGGCTGGAGCCGTGGCAGCTGGGCCATCTGCGCTCTGTTGCTCCTTGGTGGGTGGGCAATGGATGAGGCTGCAGGCTCCGAGGGGGCCAACAGGCTGATGGGAGAGTGACTCGGGCCGGGGACTTCCTGGCAGTGGTGGCCAGGGAGCCCCTGAGTCCAGCCTGTTCCCGCTCTCATCCCAGATCTGGAGCCTGGCTGCCAACCACCTGAGCTTCCTCAACTCCTTCAAGATGAAGATGTCTGTCATCCTGGGGGTCGTGCACATGGCCTTTGGGGTGGTCCTCGGAGTCTTCAACCACATGTGAGGGTCAAGGCTGCCCAGGGGCACGGGAGGCTGGCAGGCCAGAGCGGGCCCCGGTGACCGCACCTTCCTCCTGCCCGCCAGGCACTTTGGCCAGAGGCACCGGCTGCTGCTGGAGACACTGCCAGAGCTCACCTTCCTGCTGGGGCTCTTTGGCTACCTCGTCTTCCTTGTCATCTACAAGTGGCTGCGTGTCTCGGCCACCAACGCTGCCTCGGCCCCCAGCATCCTCATCCACTTCATCAACATGTTCCTGTTCTCCCACAGCCCCACCAACCGGCCACTGTACCCTCGGCAGGTGGGCTGCGGCAGGGGGCTGGGCTCACACAGCCTCACGGGAACCCCATAGTCACTGGGCCACTGGGAGCCGCAGGACCCTAGTCTGAGAAATGGGGATGCAGGCCCTGGGCCGTTCAGACAGGGCCATCAGAGATGACAGCGTGCATCGTTAGCGGGTGGCATGAGTGACGCTGGGAGCCTGGGGTCCCTTCCCTTAGGAGTCCTTCTGGAGCCAGATCCCCGCTCAGTGAGGGCACGGACCCCCAGGGACCCTGGAGGGAGGAGCGGCTGCAGGCTCTCTGGGCCCTGTGACTGCTGTGACCCAGGTTCCTGTGCAGGGGTGCACAGCGGGGGTGCCCTGACTCTTGGCCTGTCCCTGGCAGGAGGTGGTCCAGGCCATGCTGGTCGTCCTGGCCTTGGCCATGGTGCCTGTCCTTCTGCTCGGCACACCCTTGCACCTGCTGTGCCGCCATCGCCGCAGACTGAGGAGGCCCACTGGCCGAAAGGTGGGACTGGGACCTGCGGTGTAGGGAGCTGCTTGGGAGGAGAGGCCACTGTCGGGTGTGTCCCTAACTCCCCACTTCCTCGTGGGCTCCTGAGTGGCCGGGAGCTGGCCTGGCGGGCGGCAGGGGCCCTCCTGGCTGGGGCACTGCCAGCACTGCCCGCTCTCGCCCCAGCAGGAAGACAAGGCCGGGTTACTAGGCCTGCCTGATGCATCTGTGAATGGCTGGGGCTCCGATGAGGAAAAGGCAGGGGGCCTGGAGGACGAACAGGAGGCCGAGGTGGGTGCGGTGCCTTCCTAGGGGGTGGGGTGGCTGCGGCCCTGCTGGCCCTCACTGTGCCCGCCCTGCAGCTCGTCCCCTCCGAGGTGTTCATGCACCAGGCCATCCACACGATTGAGTTCTGCCTGGGCTGCGTCTCCAACACCGCCTCCTACCTGCGCCTGTGGGCCCTGAGCCTGGCCCATGCCCGTGAGTGACCTGGCTGTCGGGGGCTGGCCCCCGGTCCACGTTCCTCACACACGGCTGCTAGTTGGGAGGGTCGCTTCTCTCTGAGCCTCAGTTTCCCCTTTGCAAAGTGGGACTGTCCAAGGAGGTCCCTCACCGGCCCCCCCCGGGGAAGGGAGGGCTTCAGGCTGCGACAGGTAGGTGGGGAGCTGGCAGGCACCCACTTGCCCTTGGTCCCCACTGTCCCCTCCTTCGCCCACAGAGCTGTCGGAGGTTTTGTGGGCCATGGTGATGCGCATAGGCCTGGGCCTGGGCCGGGAGGTGGGTGTGGCAGCCGTGGTGTTGGTCCCCATCTTTGCCGCCTTCGCCGTGATGACTGTGGCCATCCTGCTGGTGATGGAGGGGCTCTCGGCCTTCCTGCATGCCCTGAGGCTGCACTGGTGAGCAACCGCCCGCTGGCTTGGGCTGCTCGAGGCAGGAGGCAGGGGTTCCCCTCGCCAACCCCTCCTTCTCACCCCCAGGGTGGAATTTCAGAACAAGTTCTACTCAGGCACCGGCTACAAGCTGAGTCCCTTCACCTTCGCTGCCGCAGATGACTAGGACCCACTGCAGGTCCTGCCAGATCCCCCGTCCTGACCTGAGGCAGGAGAGGAATAAAGAGGGTCCGCCACAGCACTGCTGTCTCATCTCTCTTCCCTCCTTTCTAGCTGAGGCAGGTGCGGGGGGAAGGCATGGTCTAGGACCTGGGACCTTTTGAAAAGTTGAGGCAAGGACACATGAGCAGATCTGCAGTAACCCCTGACTCCTGGGGTGAAAAAGGGCAGAATAGGGCCAAGGAGGGATGTTTCCAACACATTCTAACTTGGAATGAGCAAATGTCTTCCCAGGCCAGGTCAGAGGAGTAAGTTCCCCATCCTTGGGGGTGTACAACTGGCTGTGAGCAGGTGTCTGGGTTACTCTCTGGGTTGAGTGTTGCCAATATCCATGCCCTGGTGCCAGGCCTCAGCGGGGCTGGAGGTACAGAGCAGCCTGGGGCACCTGAGCCTAGCCAGTGCTCCATGCAGGGCTGTGGTGTCACACACCCAGGGCCACACGCCTGCCAGGAAGGGCAGAGCGTATCCTGAGCAGCAGACATCGCTCAGGGCCCCGGGGGTCAGAACAGGAGTTGAGCCCAACTCCAGGCCTGGCCTCCCCTCATCTGAGGCCATAGTCAACCCCACCCCTCCCTGGTGGTCCTTCCTGCGTGCTGGCGGGATGGGAGATGGCCTTCTCCAGTTCCCTCTGGCCTGGGTTCCACGTCTGCTGGGAGGCAGAGCCAGTACTTCCCAAGGGCCAAGAAGCTGCAAAGTGGTTCTTCCCACGGCTGTGGCTGTGGCTGGCTTGCTGGGAGGAGCCTGTCCATTGGCTCCTGACTGCCCTGCTCAGGACCCCCGATGCCAGGGGCAGTATGAGGGGCTCTGAGTTAATTCCACATGCCCAGCAGACTTGGCTTGAACGGTGCTCACCGTAGTGGGGTAGAAACAGAGGAGGCTGAGCAAAGGGCTCCAGAGAGTTGTGTGAGGATCTGGACCAAATCCAGAACCCCAGGCCTTACTCCCTCCTGGGGTGAGAGCTGGGCAGACTCTGGGCGGGCAGTGAGGTGAGGATAGGTGAGCAGCACTTGCGATGAGTGGCCAGTGATTTAGGAAGGGTGCGGTGTGGAATCCCAGGGAGATGCCCAGTTGGCCCTGCCCTGGCTTTGACATGGGGGTACCTGGCAGTGCTGGGGAGAAGTTCAGTTGCCATGAGAATAGCACAGAAAAAGGCACTGGGGTGGGCACCTCTGTGGCATGGAGGTCATCCGGAGACACAGGGATAGGTGGGTCACCTGCATGGAGGACTCAGCAGTGAACAGGATAGGCCTGAACCCATCCCCGCCCAAGTGAGTTACGGTCTGATGCAGAGACCGCTGGGGGAACCAGGAAAGTTAAGCTGGATAGAGAAGCGACAGGCCAGGGCCGGGCCCAGGGGGTTTAGGGAATGGCAGTGTCCTGGATAGAACAGCAAGGCCTGTGATGGTGACCGAGCTGAGCGCGGAGCAATGTGAAGGAGCCCGGTATTTGAAGGTCAGCTCCAAATATATCTCCACAAGGAGACTGCAAGTCAGCTCACGTGCAAAGGAGCAGGCAGAGGCAAGGGCTGACAGAGGCTAGCAGGGCCCTTGGCACAGGAAGACAATGAGAGAAGCCACCAGAGCTCCTATGCAGGAGTGTGACACCATTACTGTTTAATTCAGCTTGGCTTCGCCTGCTTAAAGCTGTAACTCTACAGAAGGGTGAACGGCGCAAGCTCCCCACTGCCCTGCCCAGCTGCTGTGTCACCAGGCACCGGCACAGCTCCTGGTCTCCAGCATCCTCCAGGGCTCTTCACATATGGGCTGGAAGAAGGGAAAGCAGAGTGTGGCAGGAAGGAGGAGGACGGGGGCCCATGGGGCCACATGCTGCTGGGATGCCAGCTGAGAGCAGCAGGGCACTGCTGAGCTGAGGAGTGGGATGGGTGCAGCTGGAGCCCTCTGTGGGCTCCTTCAGATACCAGGAGCCCTCCCTGAGATTTAGGACACAACCAAGGGTGACAGCTTGAGAGGCTGGGTGTTTATTTGTAGAGTACAATCGCTGTGGTAGCAGAAATACACGCAGAGAAAACGATTCAAACAAGAGCTCTGAGTAAAAAAAGGTCAGCTATGACTGAGTCCACGGGACATTTCATATATATGGTTTTCACAGTTAACTTGTTCCACGCCCCGCACCACATACAGGCTGCCATCTCCCACAAGAATGACTATGTCAGGGACATTGGGAAAGGTGAGGGCTGGGAAAGCAGGCCCCCAGAGAGCCCAGGCCAGGGTTTCCCTCACCCTGCCCAGGGGCGGCCCAGCTCACTCACAGGATCCCAGGCTCCTGACAGAGCAGAAGGCAAGAGAGGCCCAAAGAGCTGGCTCAAGCAGCTGGCTCCCCTGGGAGGGGAGGCAGGAGACAGGGAGGTCCTCACACCACCCCTGTGGCCACGCGCAGCTGTCTGCACACTCCATCAGGAGGAAGCGCAGGGAAGTCACATGCAGTACAATGAAACTCATCGATGTAACACACCCACCCAGCAGGAGGGGAGAGGTCCACTCCACGTGCAGGTGGCCTCGGCTGCTCCAGCTTCAGCCAGGGGACCAAGAGGGTAGAGGAGCAGCTTCTGGGGGCCCCAGGCAGAGGCCACCTTGCAGCAGTGATTGGCGGCTTCACAGTACATCTATGCTCACGTGCCGTGCCTCAGGAGTGAGCAGTGTCTATAACACATAGCTATCTACAAAAGCGTGGTCACAGTATTCACCAGCACACTCATGAAAAAAAATTAAATCAATATTAACCACAGTACCTGCAAGTAACACTGCTTACTCTTGCCGTCTGCCATATCTGACTGGAAACCTTAGTCCCCAAATATGAAACGCCTTCTCTAGATTAAAAGGATTCAGAGGTGTTGCACTATTGCACTATATTTCTGCTTCCCAATCTTGTTTGAGTCCTAGTGAAATCGTAAACAGATGAATTAAATGTCACTCCATTTTATACAGTCTTTAGTATCATACACATCTGTGTTCAGTAGTGAGCCACCCAAAGCCTCCTGCTGCAGGAGCAGTAGTCGAAGCACAGAGGGGACCCCGCTCCGCCGCCTTCCCATGCAGTCCAGTGATGAGGTGGATGGAGTCCTCCCCACAGTCACACCCCAAGCTTCCTCTTCTGGTGGAAATAGGCATCAAACCTTGCTTGGGCATAGTCCTAGGAGACAGCAAAGAGAAGGCCTCAGCAAGAGCTGGCCTGAACCCTGCCCATGTATCCCCCAACCCCACCCCCATCAACAGCTGAGGGCACAGACCCATGAGACCATCAGCACAGGACCAGCCTGTGCGGCAGGGCTGCCCGGGGGCCTGGGTGCTCCACAGATGCGGGCTCCTTAAGCTCCCAGCCCACCCCGCAAACGTTCACTCTTAGGAGGCCCTGCCTCTCCAACGGACATCTTGTCCACACGCTGGGCACTGCTACCATTCATCAGCTTGCTAACCTTGGGTGCTGTGGACACTGACTGATCAACATAACACACCTTTTAGAGTAAAAGGTCTCTGGAACATAAGCAAATCTTGAACAGAAGGGGAGAAAAAAGATGCCACCTGTCTACCAGGATCTCCTGCAGCATGACTTTTAAAAAGGACACTAAGAGGCAGCAGAGAAAACCTGGCTTGGCGTTGTTTTTTGCCAGTGTATTTTTCTAAGTCTCTTCCCTCATCTGTTCATCAATGAGGACAACACAATCTCAAAGACCCACTCCTAACCTCAAAGTCTACAATTCTAGATGCCAGGAAGATTACAACATCACTTTTTTGAAAAATAACTTTGAGTTGTAATTTCTACTCCACAAGCACGAGCCCATTTTAAATGTACAGGTGGAGAGCTTTCCCAGATGCATTCAGCCAGTTCACCAGCACTGCAGTCAGGAGGAGACATGTATTTCCAGCATCCCAAGAAGTTACCTTGGGACCCTTGCAGTTGGCCACAGGCAGCCACTGACCCAATTTCTGTCACTATAGATCAGACTTCTCTTTCCTAGAGTAGCACATAAATGCCACCATACAACGTGCAGCCTCTTGTGTCTGCCTCCTAACTCCACGTGATGTCTCTGAGTTGTCGTGCTGTCGTGCATTGGTGCCGCCTTCCTTTGCATTGCCAAATGTTCTCAGTACCTGGATCCGGCACTGTAGTATCCACGCACCTGCTGCCTGGTATTTAGGCTACTTCTAATTTGGGACATTACAAATGAAGCTGCAGGCCTGGCACAGTGGCTCACATCTGTAATCCCAGCACTTTGGGAGGCTGAGGCACGAAGATCATTTGAGGTCTGGAGTTGGAGACCAGCCTGGCCAGCATGGCGAAACCCCCTCTACTAAAAATACAAAAATTAGCCATGTGCCGTGGCAGGCACCCATAATCCCAGCTACTCAGGAGAACCCAGAAAGCGGAGGTTGCAGTGAGCCAAGATCGGACCTCTGCACTCCAGACTGGGCAACAAAAGCAAGACTGTCTCAAAAAAACAAATAAGGCCGGGCACAGTGGCTCACGCCTGTAATCCCCCCAGCACTTTGGGAGGCTGAGGTGGGTGGATCACGAGGTCAAGAGATTGAGACCATCCTGGCCAGCATGGTGAAACCCTGTCTCTACTAAAAATACAAAAATTAGCTGTGTATGGTGGCATGCGCCTGTAATCCCAGCTACTCGGGAGGCTGAGGCAGGAGAATCCCTTGAACCCAAGTGGTGGAAGCTGCAGTGGCCATTGCACTCCAGCCTGGTGACAGAGTGAGACTCTGGACTCTGTCTCAAAACCAACCAACCACAAACGAAGTTCCTATGAGCGTCTAAGTGCAGAATCTGCTTGGTGTAGAATCTGCTTTCATTTGTTCTGGGAGAATTCCCCAGGAGGGCTGCTGGGTGGTATAATGCCTCTTCACACTGGCTGTCCCAGGCCGCATTCCCACCAGCAGCGCACATGCATGCCCATTGCTCCATCTGCTCGCCGACATTTGGGACTGTCAGTTCTTTCAAGTTTTAGCCATCACTGTGGGTGTGTAGGTATGAGGCTTTGATTCACGTTTCTTTAGT